AGAAAACTTGAAGCAACAAGAAAAGCCAAGGGGCTGGGTATGATGGTGTATGCCTGTGATAGTAGCACTGAGGAAGAGATGGAGGAAGTCCACAAGTTAGAAGCCTATCTAGGCTCCATAATGCAGCCTTGTCTCAGAAAGAAAGAGAGAAAGAGAAGGCTGAGAGAGAAAAGGGAAAGAAAGAAACAAAGGAGTTGAGTAGCCCCTTCTAGTAGTTTGGGACAGAACTCCTGCAAAATATCCTTATGGCTCTCTTTCTCTCTCTCTCTCCTCAGGCCATGGGCGTATATGGGGCTCTAACCAAAGCCGCAGTGCCTGGAGCCCAGAACTCCAACGAGAACAGCAGAGGTGCCCAGGGTACAGATGCAAGTCTTGAAGAACTGGGTAGAGTCAAGCTTAGTTAAGGAGACAGCTTGGCCAGGGAGTGGGGGACCAGAAACAGTACTCTCAGATTCTGGCTCTAGCCTCCCTGCCAAAGTTTTAGTTTTTATTTTTTTATTTGAACTTAATAATCATGTAATAAACTTATCAGTGGTAAATTGGAAACTGTCCTCTTTGATTTGGGAATGAAGTTAGAAAAATCACTCATGTTTTCTTTGGATGTCCACTCCTACCCTTCAGTCTAGGTGGGTCTGGGCAGCTGATTCTCCATGACACGAATGAACTTCATGTGACATGAAATCATCCTGTCTTCAAGGGAAACCTACACTGTGGAGGGATTAAAGCATGTGTTTATTGAACTGCCAGCCGGAGAGTGTTGTCCCCCTTCTGCTACATGGTACAGGTGTTTGGTGAAACATGGGAAAAGAGGACTGCCTTGGCAGAATGGTACTTTGGAGGTCTTGAAGGGCTGAAGGTGTATCTCTTTCATTCAAAAATCATTTAATGTCTACTGTGTACCATGCAGAATGTTAAGATAACAACTAGGGATTACAAGAGCAGTTAAGAGATGGCCAAGGTGACACATACCTAAAATCTCAGTACTTGGTAAACTGAAGCAGTAGGATTGTGAGTTCAAGGCCAGCTTGAAGTACTTAGTGAGATCCACTCTCAAAGCAGCAACAAAGTTGAACCCCAGGGGCATCTGCTTTCAGGGAATACAAAGTCAGTTAGGGAATGCATGGAAGCAGTGATAGAAAGTCATAAACAGGCATGGTAAGGTGGCTCAGTGAGTGGAGCCTCTTGCTGTGCAAGCCAAAATACCTGAGTTGGATCCCTGGAACCAGGTAAAAGGTGGAAGAAAAGAACCAGTTTCACAAGGTTGTTCTCTAACCTCCACATGCATACACATACAGTAACATTTCTGAGTCACAGTACTCAGATGAAAGAACATAAGTTAGTTTGAGTTCCAGGAAACTTCAATGAAAGAGGGGAAAGAGACCCATTTGATGATCTGGAAATGAAGATGTCAGGAGTTAATAAATGCTGAGAGGCAGAGCATATCTGGCCTATAAACACAAGAGTAAAGGAACTGGCCAGGCGTTGGTGGCACACGCTTTTAATTCCAGCACTCGGGAGGCAGAGGCAGGCAGATCTCTGTGAGTTCAAGGCCAGCCTGGTCTACAAGAGCTAGTTCCAGGACAGCCTCCAAAACCACAGAGAAACCCTGTCTCGAAAAACCAAAAAAAAAAAAAGAGTAAAAGAACTGCTGCAGCTAGAACAGTTAACAGAAGCAAAGAAGTAGCAACTAAATATATTTAATGAGAAAGGAAGAACTAAGTAAATTTGTAGGATTTCTGTAGACAGGTGCCCCTTATTTACTAAGAAACCAAAAGAAAGTTGACTTGTTTTTCCTACTGAGCTAGAACTCACATATCCTACAAATGATCCATTTGATTGTTTCTGGAGATAAGCTCTCTGTGTAACCTAGGCTGATCTTGTGGCCTGCCTGCTTTCACCTTCCAAGTGCTAATATAGGAATGTGCCACCATACTCAGCCAACTTACCCATTTTATGTGTGTTATGTTTTTAGTTAGTTAGCTACTTACTGTTTCTGGGACAGTGTTTCATGTATCCCAGCCTAGCCCCAAACCAGCTAGGATTACCTTGCACTCTGTTCCTGCTGCCTGTATCTCTCAGGTGCTGGCATTGCAGATGTATGCAACTATGCCAGGTGCCATGGAGTGCTGGAGATCTAACCCAGGGTTTGTACATGCTAGGCGAGAGCACTGTCAGTTGAGCTGTACTTCTATCACCCAACTTTCTTATTTTAAATAATAAATCCAGTTATGTGTAAGCACAAATTTAGAACATGGTCTGCCTCCCTATGAACACTACTGCATGCACACACCAGGTTTTGTTTGCCCATTCACTAATAGAAATTTGAGTTTTTATATTTGGTAATTCTAGATGCTACGTTGGATGTTTACATATATGTTTTGTTTGTTTGGTCAGTTTTTAGAGACAGGATTTCTCTGTGTAGCTCTCTGGCTGTCCTGGAACTAGCTTCGTAGACCAGGCTGGCCTTGAACTCCCAGAGAGCCACCTGTCTCTGCCTCCCAAGTGCTGGAATTAAAGGTGTTCACTACCACCACCTGGCACATATAGATTTTTATTTAAATTCATTTTTAAAGACACGTTTTAATTTATCTTGGTGTGTTTGTTTCTCTTTTTATTACTGTGATAAAATGTTCTGGCAAAAACATCTAAAAGAGGAAGTTTATTTAGCAAACAATTTCAGGTTACAGTCCATCGTGATAGGGAAGTCACAGCAGTAAAACTGGAGAGATGGCTCAGTGGTTAAGAGCATGTACTACTCTTGCAGAAGACCAGAGTTCATTTCCCAGTGCCCCCACATCAAGGAAACTGCAATCTTCTTTAACTCCAGCTCCATCAGAGTCCAACACTCCAATCTCCATAATGCACCTGTACTCATATGCACATATTCACACACAAACACATATAACTAAAAGTAAACTAAAAAAAGAACAAAAAACAAACAAAAAATTGAAGCAGCTGGCCACATTGCATCTGTGACCAGAAGAGAACGTTGAGAGTGTGCACTCGTTGAATGCTTACACTTGGCTCACCCTTACTCTTTTCAGGATCTCCTGCCTAGGGATTGGTGTGGCCGCAGTGGACATGTCTTCCCACCTCAACTAACAAAATCAAGATAAGCCCCACAGGCATGTCCAGAGGCCTATCTCCCAGATGATCTTAGATTCTGTCAAGCTGACAGTTAACACTAAGTATCATGCCGGGGTATCTATGCAGACGTGGAATTTCTGGGCACTATAGCAGCTAAGCCTTGTGAGAAGCTGTTTTCTGACACTACTGTACCATTTCACAGTTCCAGTGTGTGAAGGTCCCAGCCTCTGCACATCCTTGCTAATAATTGTAATCATCTTTCTTCCTCCTTGGGTAGGTCTCTGTTGGCACAGGCTGGCCTTGAGCTTGTGGCAATCCTCCCTAAGTCCTGGGATTATAAGATGAGCTACCATTCCAGCTACTGTTTTCTTTGGTGTGCTAGGGATCAAACCCAGAGACTTGTGTATGCCAGTCAAGAACTGTATTACTGAGCTACATCCATAGTCCCAACTAGTACATTTAAAGTGCTCCTTCTAGTACCTCCCAGTTGGCTAATGATGTTGATTGTCTTTCCATGTGTTTATTGGCTTTGTGTATCCTTTTTAGAGAAATGTCTAGAGGCTCACAGTTCATCTTAAAATAATAAAAATCACCCTTGATTTTTATTAATTAGATGTTTTTATGTGCTGAGTGTTTTTGCTCACATATATGTATATGTACCATACATGTGCCTGGAGCCTTTGAGGATCAGAAGAGGGCTTTGGGTTTGTTGGAACTGGAATTGTATATGGTTTTGAGCCATCGTGTGGGTCAAAATGTGGGAACTGAACCCAGGTCCTCTGCAAAAACAAGTGCTCTTAAGCACTGAGCCATCTTTCCAGCCCCTATTAATGTATTTTTAAAATTCGGCTAACAGTTTTGAGAGCAGTGATGAATGCTATCAACTGGAATCAGTTAAACACAGAGGAGAAAGAGGTTTTTCTATGTCTCATGTGCATGTATCCACGTGTGTGTGTGTGTGTGTGTGTGTGTGTGTGTGTGTGTGTGTTGTCAGGAATAATCCCTCCATCTTTACTCCACCATATTCATTGAAGTCGTGTCTGGTAATCAAACTCAGAGCTTGACAGTATGAACAGTCTAGCTAGCCAGATTGCTCTGGCAGTACCCCGTTGGGACTGAATTGCAGGTAGGCCACATGCTCACTCAGCATTTAAATGGATTTCTGGGGATTCAAACTGTAGTCTTTCCAAGTATGTGGCAAGCACTTTAACTGCTGTTTCCCCAACCCAGTGTTACTTTACAGATGATAATGCCCAGTGATGAACAACTGACAAAGCTAAGGCTCTAGTCAAATTTGACTCCAGAAGCCATGCTCTTAGTTCTAATAAAAAATGGACAGTGAAGGCTGGGTGAGGTGGCCCATGCTTTTAATCCCAGCACTCGGGATGCAGAGGCAGGCAGATCTCTGAGTTTGAGACCAGCCTGGTCTACATAGCAAGTTCCAGGATAGCTAGAACTATACAATAGACCTTGTGTCAAAAACCGAGCAACAACAACGACGACAACAAAATGGATAGTGAATGTGGAGGGATGGCTTAGTGGTTGAGAGCAATTACAGCGTTTGGTACACTTCGGTACACAAAACACACACACACACATAAAAATAAATGCATGTTTTTAAAAAGACAGTGGTCCCCTGAACTTTTTTTTCCTTTCATGTTAATGTACATACCCGGTCGTCCGTCCTTCTCACTCTTAGATTAGTCCCTTGCCCCCATTTATGAGTTACTGAATCGGCCACAAAACTTGCCCGGCCTACGTTCCTTGTCGAACTTTCACCCTGGCGCCGGCAGGTGGCGACAAATCTCCCGGGAGGGCGCTCTGTCAGACGAGCACACCTCAGTGGTGTCAGGCTGCAGGCACCGCCGCTGCACTTCCGGGCGCGGATCCAGGTGAGCCAAGGTCTCCCGAGAATCCTCTATTACTGTCACCCCTAGAACAGGTGCCTCAGCTTGCTGCCCGGCTGCCCAGCACCGGAGTGAGCATGCCCACGTGTTGGCCGGGCCCCCACCGGAGGAGACAGAGCCGCCGGGACTCCTGGATCCCAGCTTAGGTCCACCGGCTCTGTACTGTACCAGGGTTCCTGGGGACGCCGTTCCGCCGGTTTTCTGTCGAGCCTGGTCACCCGGAAGCTGGGCGTGACTCCTCCCCCTGGTCTCCTCCGTCCCCGCCAGGCGGCGCCGTTTCCTCAATCCGGTTTTCCGTGTGGCTGCTTGTCTATTGGCACCCTAGGAATGTTGAGATAGTCTGAAGGGATTATTCGTTGAAATGAAATGACAGAGAACAATCTACCTACCAACTGGAATAGTCTTCTTTGTAGACTGTGGTTTGACAGCATTAGATCTCCTGGTTGTATATGCACAGGATTCTGTGCTCACGCCAAGAGCCTGAATCAGTGGGTGTAGCGTCGGCTCCAGGTTGAGATCAGTCTCAGCATCTCTCCCTCAGATGGTATGACTGGTAGAAACAGCTGGAATGAGTTGGCTGTGAGTTGTTTACATCCTGAAGTTTATAGCAGTAAGCGGTTGATGTTGGGCATTGTTTTGAGAGCCAAAACGTCCACTCTTGTCTTTACACCACAATGAAAATTTCCTCTTCTCTACCAGGATGCAGAAGGTCTCCGTGCTCCTCTTCTTAGCCTGGGTCAGTTTTCTTTTTTATGCTGGCATTGCACTCTTCACCAGTGGCTTCCTTCTCACCCGCTTGGAGCTCACCAACCAAAGCAGCTGCCAAGAGCCCCCAGGTCCTGGTTCGCTGCCATGGGGGAGCCAAGGAAAGCCTGGGGCCTGCTGGATGCCTTCCCGATTCTCCAGGGTTGTGTTGGTGCTGATAGACGCTCTGCGATTTGACTTTGCCCAGCCCCAACGCTCACGTGTACCTGGGGAACCTCCTGTCTCCGTGCCTTTTCTGGGAAAATTAGGCTCCTTGCAGAGGATCCTAGAGACTCAACCCCACCATGCCCGGCTATACCAATCTCAGGTGGATCCCCCCACGACCACCATGCAGCGTCTCAAGGCTCTCACCACTGGCTCATTGCCTACCTTTATTGATGCTGGCAGTAACTTTGCCAGCCATGCTATAGTGGAAGATAACCTCATTAAGCAGCTCACCAGTGCAGGTCTGTATGTACCCCTTTGGAAGCCAGGTGAACCTGGGCCTTTAGAAGTTAGGGAGCAGGAGCTGGAGAGATGGCTCTGGGGTTAAGAGCACTGGCTGCTCTTCCAAAGGACTGGGTTCAATTCTCAGCACCCACATGGCAGGTCACAACTCTTTGTAACTCCAGTTCCAGAATATCTGATACCTTCACACCAATATACATAAAATAAAATTAAAAAAAAAGTTAGGGAGCCAGGGCTTAGGGGGTCCCAGCTTTATGATTGACTGTGGTGTAGGGAAACTGGGGAGTAGAAATAGATGGGATCTTGCTTGTGGAGCGTTCAAGAGATTTTTGTCCTTGATGATGCTTCTAATGTGCACAAAATGTTTAACTTTTGGGAGCCCCCAATTAAGGAAGAAATGAAGACAGGAGCTTGGCTTGCAAGTGTGGAGGTGAAAAGAATAGAGGTGTCCAAGTTGTGTTCACTGACTGCTTATGAAAAAAAAAAAAAACAAAACAAAACAGTAGGTCAAGGGCAGAACATGGTGTATATGCCTTTAATCCTGAAGATCAAGAGGCAGAGGCAAGAGGATCTCTGAGTTCTAGATTAGCCTGGTCAACATAGTAAGGCCTGTCTCAAAACAAACATACATGTCCTCAGATACCCTAGGGTCTGGTAGCAAATCATTTTGTAGGAATGGAAGTGACAGGTCTAGAGGGAATGTGGTTATCCAAGAAAGCTTGATGGGAAATTTTTGGTGATGCTGAATGAATTCTTATACTCGGGGATGTGTGGTTGAGATTCCTATTGGCTATGTGCACACACACACACACACACACACACACACACACACACACACACACACAGTGTATATGTACAAGTGCACATGCCATGGTGATACACATGTGGAGGTAAGAGGACAACTTTAGAAGTTGGTTTTCTCCTTCTACAGTGTGGGCTCTGAGTATTGAACTCAAGTTGTCAGGTTTGGTGGCAAGCACTTTGACCCACTGACCTGCTTTTTGCTGGGTTTTTAGAGTCTTCTCTCATATTCTCCCTGCTCTGGATCTCACATGAACAAGATCTGCTCTGATTCCTCTCTTGTCTCTACAGGAAGGCGTATAGTTTTCATGGGAGATGATACCTGGAAAGACCTTTTTCCTGGAGCTTTTTCTCAAGCTTTCTTCTTCTCATCCTTCAATGTGAGAGACCTTCACACAGTGGATAATGGCATCCTAGAACACCTCTATCCTACCAGTGAGCATGGGGAAAGAGCACTTAGTCCCAGCTCAAGCCTGGGAGATGGGAGTGACAGAGACTGTGCTTGTCTCCCTGGGCGTAGAGGAATGCCAAGGCCTGGCTTGGGTGAGGAGTGGGTTTTGCTGCCCTGTGCTCAGTGTTCTCTCCTCCACAGTGGACAGTGGCGAATGGGATGTGCTGATTGCTCACTTCCTGGGTGTGGATCATTGTGGTCACAAGCATGGCCCTAACCACCCTGAAATGGCCAAGAAACTTAGCCAGATGGACCAGGTGATCCAGTGAGTGTGGGATATTGGTGGGGGAAATGGGTTTATGTTTGAGAATATCAGGACATAGGATTCTATGAAACAAACAAACAAACCTTATTTGGAGCCTCTTTCCTGTGTGTGTGTGTGTGTGTGTGTGTGTATGGTGTATTTTGAGACAGGGTCTCATTATGAAGCTATGTAGCTCTGGCTGACCTTGAACTTGCAATATAAACCAGACCAGGCTGGATTCAAACTCCCAGAGATCCGCCTGCCTCTGGTTTCCAAGTGCTGGAATTAGAGGCATGCGCCACCATGCTCTGGCTCTGAATTGTTTTATACAGGCTTTTCCCCAAAACCTAGGGCCACCATCCATTTTGAATAACTTTTTGAGTAGCTCCCAGGCTGCAGGGTTTTGACTGAAGGGGTATCTTTTTGACAGAAGTTTGGCCTTGTTAGTCGAAGTCAGTGGTGGAGGTGAATGGGCCCCAGAGAAGAATCTTTTCCTCTCCCTATGCTCTGACACATTTTTTGGCCCTCAGGGGACTCATTGAACGTCTGGAGAATGACACACTGCTGGTGGTAGCTGGTGACCATGGGATGACTATGAATGGGGACCATGGAGGAGACAGTGAGCTGGAGGTCTCAGCTGCACTGTTCCTATACAGTCCCACAGCCCTCTTCTCCACTGTCCCACCAGAGGTGAGGCCTGGGTTATACCTCTTCTGGTCTTGCCACATTGTGACTCCTTTAGTTTAGGCCCCCCAAACCATTCTCATTTATTTTTATTTGTGTGATATATGTGTGTGTGTGTGTGTGTGTGCACACGCACATGTGTGTGTTGGTATGCACACTTATGTGTGTGCAAGGAGGCCAGAGGACTTTAGGTGTCCTGCTCTGTTGCTCTCCACCTTACTCTACTGAAACAGGGTCTCTCACTCAACCTGGAGCTATCCTGGTGGCCAGAGGTCCTGTCTGCCCACCCGGACACTGGGTTACAGGCATGCATGGTCATGCCCAGCTTTCTACAAGGATTCTGTGATCCGAACACAGGCCCTTCTGTTTATGCAGCAAATGCTCTCCCCGGCTGAAGCGTCTCTGCCGACACTCCTTCCCACTATTCTTACCTAGGCCTGATGAGTACACTGGTACCTGCCCTTTCCTTCTAGGAGCCAGAGGTTATTCCTCAAGTCAGCCTTGTGCCCACACTGGCACTGTTGCTAGGCCTGCCCATCCCATTTGGGAACATTGGGGAAGTGATGGCTGAGCTGTTCTCAGGTGGCAGTGACTCCCATCCTCAGGCCTCTGCTCTAGCCCAAGTCTCAGCTCTCCATATCAATGCCCAGCAGGTAGGTAAAAGGAATAGACTTGTGTGATTAAGCACAAGGACCACCCCATTGTCCTTTCAATCTTCACCTCACCTCCATAGCATAGCCATGCCCTTCTTCCATTATCCTTCCCTTATCCCATGCTGGACAGAATCTGAGCCCCAGGTTTCCAGGCACCTCTTTGTATAACACCTCTCCCTACCTCTTCCCCAGTTTATCTCTCTGACCTATTTCTGTTTGTCTGACCTTTCCTGCCAGGTGTCCCGATTTCTTCATACTTACTCAGCTGCTACTCAGGATCTCCAGGTTAAAGAGCTCCATCAGCTGCAGAAGCTCTTCACCAAGGCCTCTGCTAGCTACCAACAGCTTCTGCAGAATCCCCAAGAGGCTGAGGCATCCCTAAGGACTTTGACTGCTGAATTGCAGCAGTTCCTGCGGGGAGCTCGGGCCATATGCATCGAGTCTTGGGCCCGTTTCTCTCTGGTCCGAATGGCAGGGGGTGCTGCTCTCTTGGCTGCTGCCTGCTTTCTCTGCCTGCTTGCATCTCAGTTGGCAGTATCCCCAGGCTTTCTCTTCCGCCCATCACTCCTAATACCTGTAGCCTGGGGCCTAACTTGGGCTATGCTATATGCTGGACTCTTGGTAACTATAGGGTCAAAAGTGGATTTGGTGGTTCTAGGGGCTGTAGCTGCAACAGGTTCACTCCTCCCCTTTCTGTGGAAAGTTTGGGTTAGCTGGGGATCCAGTAGGCCCCTGGTACCCCTACTTCCTGTCCCTAGACCTGTCCTATTACTCCTGCTCATTCGCTTGGCCACCTTTTTCTCTGATAGTTTTGTTGTTGCTGAGGCCAGGGCCACTCCCTTCCTTTTGGGCTCTCTTATCCTATTTCTGGTTGCCCATCTTCACTGGGAGGGCCAGCTACTGCCACCTAAACTGCTTACAATATCCCGCCTTGGCTCTTCTGCACCAACAGGCCCCCCACGGTACAGTGGTACATATGCCCTGAGGCTTGGAATTGGGTTGCTTTTATGTACAAGGCTAGCTGGGCTTTTTCATCGCTGCCCTGAAGAGACACCTGCTTGCCACTCCTCTCCCTGGCTGAGTCCTTTGGCATCTATGGTGGGCGGTCAAGCCAAGAATTTGTGGTACGGAGCTTGTGTGGGGGCACTGGTGGCTCTGTTAGTTATTGTGCGCCTATGGCTTCGGCTGCCTACTGGGCATTGGCATCAGGAGCAGATGAAGCACAAACACATCTCCAGGCCCTGGTCACTGGGGCCTCAGTTGTGCTGCCTCGGGCTGTGGTGGGGCTGGCTGCCTTGGGGCTCATGCTGCTGCTATGGAGGCCTGTGGCAGTGCTGGTGAAGGCTGGGGCTGGTGCTTCAAGGACCAGGACTATCCTCACTCCCTTCTCAGGTCCCCCTACTTGTCAGGCTGACCTAGATTATGTGGTCCCACAAATCTACCGCCACATGCAGGAAGAGTTCCAGGGCCGGCTAGAGAGGACCAAATCTCAGGGTCCTGTAACTGTGGCTGCATATCAGTTGGGAAGTGTCTACTCTGCTGCTATGGTGACAGCCCTCATCCTCTTGGCTTTCCCACTTCTGCTGTTGCATGTAGAGCGTGTCAGCCTTGTGTTCCTGCTCCTGTTTTTGCAGAGCTTCCTTCTCCTGCATCTGCTTGCTGCTGGGACATCAGTCGCCACCACGGGTAAATATGGGACTTAGCCCTGAAGCACCTTGTTTTGAGGCAGATGCTTCTCACCCTGGCATATATATGGTCTTGTGTCCTTGCAGTTGGGAAGCTCTTCCTGATGTCCTCCCTTATCTGCCATCTCCATAATATTTCCCCTGCCCACCAGAGAGGGACTTCAGGATTTACTTCTTAGTGAAATGCTATCTCCCCATGAGCACATTCCCTGATTTCCCAGTTGCAAAAGTGATTACATTATGATTATATTATGGTACAGTGAGCTCTTTGTGAGAAAGAAAGAAATTGAACCCTGTGGTCTTGTGGTATAGCTTGCAGCACGGAGACAATTAGAATAGCAGTATTGATTGTAAGGAAGGTTGGGGTAGCATATGACTGTGCAAAAATTTGCTCAAGTGCTAGGAGTCGATGATCCCAGAAGAGAAAGCTGTAGGTTAGGGAATGAGATGTAATTGTAAAGAAGTATATATTTTCTTCTAGGTCCTTTTATTGTGCTGTGGCAGGCAGTCTCAGCTTGGGCCCTTTTGGCCACCCAGACCTTCTACTCCACTGGCCACCAACCTGTCTTCTCAGCCATCCATTGGCATGCAGCCTTCGTGGGATTTCCAGAAGGTCATGGCTCTTCTACTTGGTTGCCTGCTTTACTAGTGGGAGCTAACACCTTTGCCTCCCACATCCTCTTTGCAGGTACCTCTTTGTTTTCCCTCCCTAACTTCTGTTGGCTCCAGCTTTGTGGAAAGAAAGAAAAACTTTGGATCTGGAAGGGAAGATGCAGTTTTGTTGGCTCTTTGCAATCCCTTGGCCCTAAACTCTTTGAAGCCCATGCCAACTAGGGTGGTTGGGGACCAGGCTGGACTGGTCCCAGGGTTCCTCCCTTGATGCCAGCCCTGTCCTCCCGGAGGCAGTAGGTTGTCCACTGCTCCTGCTCTGGCCCTTCCTGTGTGAGAGTCAAGGGCCAAGGAAGAGGCAGCAGCTCCCAGGGAGTGAGGCTGAGGCCAGAGCCAGTCCTGAGGAGGAACAAGAGGAGCCACTGATGGAGATGCGCCTCCGGGATGCTCCACATCATTTCAACGCAGCCCTGTTACAGCTGGGCCTCAAGTACCTCTTTGTCCTTGGAGTTCAGGTGGGTGCAAGGGGAGATGTGATAGAGCTGATGACCTTTACCCCAGTATGCACTTTACACTTCAAATACCTTGGGAATGATCCTTGATGGAGGTCCAGATATGGGAAATGATTGCTCAAATTCAGACCTCAAATGGCAGATTTGAGACCTGGCTTGGGTTTTCTTATTCCAATCCTGGGTCATTTCTTCTCTGCTGTGTAGATCTGGGCCCTGTTCGTTGCATTTCAGACATACTGGGAAAGCCATGGTTATGGCCAGGATTCTTTTCCAAACTGATCCAGAGGCAGAGATGGGTTACTGACGTCTCCCCCTGCTGGAAGGCAAAGCATGAATGTCAGCATCACAGCTGGATAGTGACTTGCCCAAGTTCACACGAATCAGTGGCTGGACCGGGACAAGAACTGTGTTTCTTAACTCCCAACCCAGGGTGTTTTCCAGTGGTATACACTGCTTTCCTCCTTGTCCAGCTTCCTCCAAAGTAACTGCCTGCCTCTCTTGCCTTAGATTCTAGCCTGTGCCTTGGCAGCTTCCATCCTCCGAAGGCATCTCATGGTCTGGAAGGTGTTTGCCCCCAAGTAAGTGGTTTTGCTTGAAGAGAAGTGCTGTGGAAGGAGAGACTTTGAGGAAACTATGGCTGTCATAGGTCGACAAGGTTTTGCCTCTTTAGTGAAAGGCATTAGACCTATTACCTGTGTCCTGAATTACTCACCTTTCTTTACAGGTTCATCTTTGAAGCCATTGGTTTCATTGTGAGCAGTGTGGGACTTCTCCTGGGCATAGCTTTGGTGATGCGAGTAGATGGCGCTGTGAGTTCCTGGTTCAGAAGACTAGTTCTGGCCCAGCAGAGGTAGCCCAGGCTGAGCATGTCAGCACCTGGCCATGGAGAGAGCTGGAGAATCCTCTGGCCTGACCTGTACTGGTGCTGGATATTCTGCAAGAGAGACTCAGACACACCCCTTACCACTGTGTAACCAGAGACTGCTTACCCTGGGACTTCACCATTTTATAATTCAGAATCTCTGTGGAGCCTGAGCCCTAGCTCCTTATGTGGATGCATCTGATGGACAAGAGGGGCGGTCACCAAAGTGAAATAAAATAACAACGTAAATGTGTGTGTCTAAGACATGGAGGAGCTCACCAAATCAGTCTCTTCTCTCACCAAGCAAGATTAGATATGCCATCTTAGGTGGGGTTTGCTATAGCCGAGAACTCTGGTGAGAAGCTGTCTGGGTTCTCTGACTTCTTCCCAAATGTTCTAGTGATCCCATTTGTCCTGCCCTCCTCCTTGTTTGTTGGTTTTTGGTGGTTCTGTGCTTTAACTGATAGCAGAGAAGACAAGCCCAGCATCATGAAGCACACAGACTTCTGTCTCTGAAGCCTTAAACAGCACTGTTTCTTCCTCCCTTCCCCCTTCACAGCTGTAGAAGCCTCACTCTGGTTTTCTGCCTGTGCTGTCTTTACCACTTCTTCTTGCCTATTGATTATTCCCAAGCTAAAGCCAAAATGGAATGAATGTAATGCTTCTTTTTTAAAGACAATCTCACTATATAGCTATAGCTGGCTTAGAACTCAATATGTAGACTAGGCCAGCCTTGAACTCACAGAAATCCACATGCTTCAGTGTTAGAATAAAGGTGTGTGTCACCACGCCAGGTTAATTTTCTTTTGTTGTTATTTTTGAGACAGAGTTTCTCTATGTAGCTTTGGAGCCTGTCCTGGAACTCGCTTTGTAGACCAGGCTGGCCTGGAACTCACAGAGATCCTCCTGCCTCTGCTTCTGAGTGCTGGGACAAAAGGTTTGTGCCACCACTGCCTGTGGAAGTATGTGTTTGTTTTGTTTTGTTTTGTTTTGTTTTTTAAGATGTGTTGGGAGTAGAAAAATGGCTTAACAGGTAAAACCTGAGTTTGATCCCTGGTACTGACCCTCATAAGTTATACTCCAACCTCTATACATGTATAGTCCCCAAATATATATAGACCAAATAAATAAATAGAACAAAAACTCCAGGAAAACAAACATTTCAAGAAAATAAAAGTTCAGGCTGGAGAGAGATGGCTCAGCAGTTAAAAGTACTGGCTGTTCTTCAAGAGGCCCTTAGTTAATTTCCCAGATACCACATGGCAGTTCACAACTATTTCTATAATGGGATCTAACACCCTCTTCTGGCATGCAGGCAGAGTACATAAGGCAAATAAAAATACATTAGATAAATGAATCTAGAAACAAAAGTGTATAATCCCTGCAAACAGTAGGCAGAAGCAGGATAATTGTCACACATTAAAGGCTACTGGGTCGTCATAGCAAGTTGCAGGCCACATAGGGCTACAGAGTGAGACAACTGTCTCCACCGAAAAAAGTGTAGAGTGCAATGGTTATATGTGGTGATACATTGTTTGTGATCTAATAAAACCACTGAAGATCAGAATGCAAAGCCAGCCACACTAGTCAGCCATAGAGGCAGGGCAGGGGTGGTACATACCTTTAATCCCAGGACTCAGGAGATAGGCAGGTGGATCTCTGTGAGTTCAAGGCTACCCAGAACTACATGGGAGTGAATCAGTCTAAAAGAGAAACAGAGCTCATGCCTTTAATCCCAGCACTAGGTATATAAAATAGGAGCAGAGTATCAAATTCTGGCAACTAGTCTCCTGCTATGTTGAGGATAGTATCTCCCCAGTCTTGGTAGAAGTAAGAGCTCTCTGGTGGCTTGGTTGCTTTGCTTTCCTGATCTTCTGCTTGAAACCCAGTATCAATATCTGTCTCTTTTTTTTTATTATTATTTGTGCTACAGTCATAAGTATATAATTAGCAAAGATGACAGACAATTGTAAATTCCAGAATAGTTCACCCCTTCAAAGAAACTCTGTGCCCAATAAGCACTCTTCTCCTAACCACAGCAGTGTAGCCAAACAGCCAGTTTCTGGGTCAGAAATGGTCAAGAACAGTGGTTCTCAACCTTTCTGATGCTGTGACCATTTAATACAATCCCTCATGTTGTAGTGCCCTCAATCATAAAATTATTTTGTTGCTACTAAATAACTATAGTTTCTCTACTGTTAGGAATCGTGTAAATATCTGTATTTTCTGATGGTGACCCCTGTGAAAGGATCATCCCACATCCCAAAGGGGTCGGTTGAGATCCACAGGTTAAGAAGCCATCTGGTCTAAAGATATAAGGCAGAATGTTGAGGGATATTTGATTACACTGTGAACCCAAAGATTGCATTGATTAAATAAAATCAACCTTGGGCCAAGAGTCAGAGCCAGCAGCTAGTTGACAGGAAGTAGCCAGAGAAAGAGGGAGTTGGGAAAACGGAGAAATAAATGCACATGAAGTAGTGAGTAGGGACTTTGAGATTGGCATTTTTTTGGTTTGGGACGTTGGGAAAGAAGCTCCTTTTCTGAGATGCTGGTTGAGCAGGGCTCAAAGGGAATCCACTCGTACCATGACTTTCATTAGAGGGGGTAAAGGGGAAAGACATTCACATGCTCTTTTGATGGTTCCCTTCAGCTGTTTTCTTTATTCTTCTTTCATAGTCTCTGGTCTTTATTTCCTTGGCGATTTCTGTCTCTCATTCTTGGTGTTTTCCTTCTAACTCACTTTATTCTTTCTCTTATAGCTTATATACTCCAGTAAAAATCTTACAAGAAATATAAAAATTACATTGTAGATACAGTCTGTTTTTCAAGTGAATAACTATAATGAATTCAAGTAAAAAAAAAAATAGTGTGGGGCTGGAGAGATGGCTCAGTGGTTAAGAGCACTGACTGTTCTTCCAGAGGTCCTGAGTTCAATTCCCAGCAACCACATGGTGGCTCACAAACACCTTGAATGAGATCTGGTGCCCTCTACTGGTATGCAGGCAAAAGACTATACATAATAAATAAAATCTTAAAAAAAAAAACAAAAACTAAAACCTTCCTTCAAAAAAAAAAAAAAAAAAGTGTGTTTTCCATATCCCTTACATGATTAAACGTTAAGTATTACAGGTGAAAAACAAATTATCCTAAGAACCCATGTACATTCATGAACCCAAGCAATTTGTTATAGATTAACAGTGTGAAAATAAGCAAGATATTCTTTTACTGGCAGGCTGCATTTTGCAGTTACAAAGAAAGGCCAATTACTTTATTACTTAGCTTTGAAGCCTATCCTGGTACTCGCTCTGGAGACCAGGCTGTTCTCGAACAGCCTCCCGAGTTCTGGGATTAAAGGCATGTGCCACCAACGCCCAGCTTTGTTCCCTGGTCTTAATGAGTTCCTCATTCAACTATGTTCCTTTCTAAAACTTTATATTGTCTTCTTGGATTTTCTACTTCAAAGCTATTTGACAAAAACATCTAACATTAATCTAACTTTAAGTAATTTTCAAAGCTTTGTTTCAACTATGACACCTGTGAACACAGCTCCCAACATTAACGTTAATAGAATTTAAGCTAGCTAGGCTCCTGGGACTCAATTGTTTTTCTTAATCATCAACCCAAGCCACAGTCTACACAGCTCCTCAAAAGAAACTCATGGGTTTTAGCTGTGTGACACTTCCTTGTTTGTATTTTTTATCATCAAAACTCTATTTAACTCTGTGAGTTCGAGGCCAGCCTCTACAGAGCGAGTGCCAGGATAGGCTCCAAAGCTACACAGAGAAACCCTGTCTCGAAAAACCAACCAACCAAACAAACAAACAAAAAACTCTATTTAAACTAACATTATTATTATCAATTAGCTTAGGAAGAAACCATCTTCATAATAATCCACAGGTAAAAATGCTCAGTAGAATGAGATGTTTCCACAAGATAAACACACTACATTACAGGCAGTAGTGTGGGATCTCTCCACACCCATTCACACCATGTCAGATACCAAAGATAGCATTGACAAACATGTAAAGGTACAGCAGAGGCAAAAGAGATTCTGGAGTCAGTGGTCTCAGGGCTTTGTCTATCTGAGATTCACACATCAGGGATTTTCCTCCTGGTGGGCTGACACCTGAACTTCAATTGCCACCTGCTGCTCCTCTGATACAGCCACTGGCAACAAACTAGTAATGAACTCTTCTCTGTCTATGGACTATTGGGTTTAAAGGTGTGCATCATCACACCAGGCTGAAGAAAACACTTTTTAAAAAACAGGACAGAAACTTGCAGACATGTCCAATCTTTTTCTATTGCAACAATGTCTATACTTCAGAACCATATAATCAAGTTACCAAAAAATGCAAACATAATCTCATGATGTTTTAAGTAAGTTTATACTTTTGTGTTGGGTCACATTCATAGCTATCCTGGAGCACATATGGCACCCGTGGTCTATACCAGACAAACAAAGGGAAGTAAGAGAGGGGAGTGGGAAAGAGAAGAATAGGGAGTATGGGGTGAAGTAAGAGGCTCAAAGTATCGTATGTACTTGTTTGAGAATGTCCTGATGGAATCCACTACCATGTACAATGAATGAAACCAATGAAAAATTTAAGAAAGTACATAATTATTTAAAGCAAAAACTTTTAAAAAAAATTGATATACAAGCCAGGCATGGTGCCACATGCTTGTGACCCCAGCAGTTGGGAGGTTGAAGTGGGTTCATCATGAGTTCAAGGAGACCCTATTTAAAAATAAAGCATAAATCTGTCTTGTAAAGTTACTTATCATTTACATTTTCTTCAGCATTGTATGCTTTTATTTCTGTTGCTCACAGAGACTCCTGTAGCCAAGGCTGGCCTCCACCTCATTTTATATCAAAAGATGGCCTTGATTCCTGATGCTTTGTCCTACTCTTGAGTGTTGGGATTATGTTGGGAGCCATGTGGCCTAGTTTCCAATCAGTATATGAGTGCTTGTCCAACTGGTCTCCATGACGAAAAGCCAAGGAGACAGTCTCACTTGGCAAGGACCCGTGGACTTTGGACAGCATAGAATACTGCTGGCATCATAAGGTCTGCATGCTCTTTTCTCTCATACTCTTGCTGATTTTTTAAAAATATTTTATTTATTTATTATGTATACAACATTCTGCTTCCATGTATATCTGCATACCATAAGAGGGCACCAGATCTCATAACATATGGTTGTGAGCCACCATGTGGTTGCTGGGAATTGAAATCAGGACCTCTGGAAGAGCAGTCAGTGC